GGTCCCTGCATTTTGAAACAAAAGCCCCATGGGTCACGGAATGAGGTTTTTCCTTAAGTTTGTTATGTGGGATAGAGGTGAAGAAATTAACAGAATTGAAGCAAATCCTTTGAGGTTTCGAAAATACACATGGTATTTATTGTTTGTTGTCTAACGCCTCACTCAGCAAAATTCCAGTTACATGACGGCGGTCTGTAAAATATCAAGTCTGGACCACACAATCAGACAAGCTACCTCCACTCGGTTCATGATTTGATTGGTGTGATTACACATTAATACAAGTCCATGCCGTGATGTATTCCAAGCACATGCTCTCTGCAAATATTAGTGCAGGTGCAGGAGATAGGACAACAGTTTGTGACATGAATGAGAATCGACCTTTAGATGGGAAACGCAGTACTGTTTTATCGAATATATATTTTGCAAATGACATTTTCCTTAAATGGGTAGGGCGGGGGCTTTGGTATGATTATCGTTTTCCATTTCGATTGTCTTTGCTATTGACTGTTTGTTCGTTGTTTAACGCTGCACTCAGTGATATTCCAGTTGTATGACGGCGGTCTGTAAATAATCGCATCTGGACCAGACAATCCAGTGACTGATATCATGAGCATCGATCCACACTATTGAGATACGAAAACGTGCATCAACCAAGTCAACGAACCTGACCACTCGATCCCGTTCTTACGACAAGCATAGTGGCCTTTTATGGCAAGTATTGGTTGCTGAAGACCTATTTCTTTTTACTGAAATATATCAGAGCGAACAGGCTGTGGCTACCTTTGCATGTGTTTGTGACGGATGCCAACGGAGCATGAAACGCTAAACTTTTTGCGAGCACCTGGTATCATAACAGTTTGATAGTGATACATGAGATACGAATGGAATTGGGTGTCTTCACAAATTATATAAACTGTGAAATATAACAAACCAACGGAAAACGTCCCAATACCTTAAAAATGCTGAGGGTCAAACTGATAACGCGATTTGGACATAGTTCACGGCCAGTGTGGCCTGTAATACTGGTCAGGGTTATGCAAACAAATTTAAGACTTAACCCCTTATCAGTCTAAACTAATAATCTCATGTACCACGCCTACACGCGTATACTGGTCAGCATTCCTTCTTCAACCTGAAACGAACCCTTCAACACCTTTATCAAGAGTGGCTCGGTCAAGTTCAGTTATGCAATTCTGTCGAGATAAGTGTAGCCGAAGTTATAACAACATCATTGACAATATTATCAGAAAATTAGACCATCCGCGATAGCTCAGTCACACATAACTCTGTGGCTGACAAATCAACTATTATTCACACAAGTAAGCAGCGTGCACTATCTTTATGTTGAAAGTCCTGAAGGTACACTGACCATTTCGGCAATGTGGCTACAACCAGATACTATACGGTAAGATCCTGTTTCATTTTTAACTTTTTAAATTTCATGCTTCACATATACTACGCTTGTGTGAATGTCTATTTTTGTGAATGCGCCGCATTCAGATAGAGACTGGAGGATGTATTGTATAGGTGAATGAGTGAGTTTGGTTTTACGCCACTTTTAGCAAAATTCCAGCAATATCACGGCGGGGGACACCAGAAATGGGCTTCACACATTGTACCCATGTCGGGAATCGAACCCGGGTTTTCGGCGTGACGAGCGAACGCTTTAACCATTTGGCTACCCGACCTCCCCTGAATTGTATGAGTACTATTAAATCATTCGTAAGCTGCATGCACATTGTGATTCTGCTGTGTGCAAATCAATCTGCATTAGTCATTGTGAATCCTTTTATATATTTGTTAATTCTTCGCATATCTGTTTATATATAATTGATTGTAATCATTCTCAATCTCATTAACATCAGGTTTTAGTTTTCGCTACCGCTAAGCAATCATTTAAGAACATCCCATTACGTCAGAACGACCTTTCATCCGACCAATCAGAGCGTCACTTACCAAATGAGGAACCTCGAAAAGTTTAACACGGGGTATTCCGAACGACAGTTACGTGCTTTGCACAGCCATTTGGAAGTACAGCCATACAATCTCCGCTATCTGTTCTACATTCCAGAACGTCCTTTAGATCTGTTTTAAAATATTGAACGTTTCAGAGCGTTCTTTTGATCTGTTTTAAAATCTTGAACGTTCCAGAACGTTCTTTAGATCTGTTTTAAAATCTTGAACGTTTCAGAACGTTCTTTAAATCTGTTTTCAAATCTTGAACTTTCCGGAACGAGAATCGAGAACTTTGTCAAAGTTTCTTTTTCAAAGCGTAGTCTTGAATGGAAGTGGCCAGTTTGAATTAAGTGCCTTTATAACAAGAGAAAATTGGTTTCTGATTGGCTAAATAAATGTTGACTTCTTGTCATTCATTCGCAAACAGTCGTTATGACGAGACCTGCAACGAAATGTCCTTACACTATTGTTTAGCGGCAGCGAGAGCTAAGATCTCATTCTAAATAGATTGTAATTATTCTGTAATCGACTATAAATTGTAGTTGATTCTGTGCCTGACTAATAAAGTCCAGTATATTAACCCAGGGCGTGTGCCAGTGTGCTGGCTGGTCGTGCACAGTGGCACTTCTGATATTGCTAGTGGCTAATATCATCATCCAACAATGAACCACTTGTTAACTGCAATGTCATCAACATTCAATTCAATTCAATTCTGTGTTGTATGAAAGTCCACAGGCTCATATACAACGGAGTTAAATGATACATTTTATACATATCACACCCAGAACGACTATGTACATTCCAGGAAGTAGTGTCTCATTCAGTACATACTTGCATTAATACTTATCTGATTTTGTCTCGTCCTTGTTTAACATGATTACCCTCTGTGTGAAAATAAAACTTTTTGTCTACCATATGAGTACATTATTATACAAATAGACATGTAGATAACTCGGTACGGAACTATATATATTGGGATGTTCACCTCAAATAAGACAGCATACACAATGAAAATATTCAAAATTAATATTATTGTCAACATATTCAACTGCAAATTATCGATAATAATAACGGTTATCTCAATATCATAATAATGTGTTGAGATGTAAAACAACAGAATATTACTAGTTGTTGAGTATGAACTGTGTTATGCCGTTTTTAGATGTATATGATATCGGTAGTTCCTCGTTAGTGATTCTCTGCAATTCCCAAAACAATATTCTATGTCATCTGATCGGCACGTTAGCGACCGCTATAGCAGGTTAATGCATTCAAATATGCAAATATTTCATTCAAATCACAATGACGAGACAGAAGCGTTCATTCCCGAGGAGAGATGTGTGGCAACGTTCATAAGAAACACTCATTTGGACAGAGGTAGTATGCGTCTGTTTCTGTTGTATGATTCAACTATATCTTTACCATTGTGGTTTATAAACATATTGTAAATGTTTCTTCTGATATTGAAAGATTTCACGCTCATAAAGATACACATTTCATTTAAATCTTCAAGACTGTGGTTTATTTGGTTATTCCAAAATATGCATTTTTCCTTCTACATCCGATGGCTATTTCAAAATATGCATTTGTCCCTTCTGTCCGAAGAGGTTTAATATTTCTTTGGTTCTATAATGCATACTATTTGTGTGTTTTTATATTTAGTTGTTATTTCTTGCATAACATCATCAGAGTGTATTTTCAACTTTTAAGACCGTGATTTTTTGGTTATTCCTAAACATGCATTTCTCCTTCTGTCAGGAGGGAGGATATTTTGGGGTTCAATACCTAGAAATATGAAATGGATTTCTTTTTTGACTTTGACATTGAAAACTATTTTACATAAAATTAACTAGATCGCATTTGAAGCTATTTTATTATTTTCATTGAAGACAACATTACTATTTCTTTAGGAAATGCATTTTTTAAAGGATTTAATTGTTACATCATCACGGGTACACCAGACAATAATCCTTTTTGCTTCTGTTTCTGCATATGTTGATAAATAGTTCAGCCCCGTGCATTTGGGGAAATGTTTAAAACGTAACATACTTCTGGCGATGCATACAATATTCTCCGATAATTAAGGAAAGCTATGTGTAATGATCAGTAGCTATTAAAGCTAGGTCTCGACGTTATTGCAGCGACATTGACTGTGTTTAGTTTTGTAAAACATAACGTTCAGATGACTTCATTTACAGCTGGCGACTAACGGGATCGGGTGGTCAGGCTCGCTGCCTGGGTTGATGCATGTCATTGATCCCAATTCCGTAGATCGATGATATCAATCACATGATTGTCTGGTCCAGAGCCTGACCAACCGATCCCATTGGTCGCCTCTTACGACAAGGATAGTTCAGCCCCGCCTTTTACGGCAAGCAATGGTTGCTGAGGAACTATTCTACACCGGGCCGTCACGGGTCGACGAATGTGTAACGGATACTGATTTTACTGTTACAATCTATAACATTTAGTTTGCTGTTTGTACGACGTACTGCTTTACTCCAAGCTCCGACACCAGTGTGACAAAGTTGCGATTACACGCCAGATGATAGGGCCGACCACCGTGCTTCTACATGGCCCATTACAATTAGTTGTGACGGCAACTGCTTTAAACATGGAGCGTGCAGTGCAGACACTGTCCGCCATGATTTGATAATACTGTGTGAGATTTTGATGGATTGTTTTAAAATCGACATCCAACCAATAATTAAAACTGACCATATTTTTGGAAATATTAATCTTGTTTATTTAGCATCATTACTTATCCTGAATGTTACCAAAATTATTTTCAATTGCCATTTGGTGCAGAACTCAGGTTGGCGTGTTTAGCTTCCTGTACTCCGCTTTAAGGCCCGACAATGCATGTCTAGTTATTTAAAAGACGAATATACTGTTACTTTGGATGTCATCTAATTTAAGAATACTTATCCATACTCAACCATACTCACCTAAATTCTCCATAGTTTATAGAAAACGATGTATGATGTAGGTAAAGGTACATTGTATACACGTATGCTTATATATTTGTGTTTTAAACCCAACAGAATGTTTCCCAATGCCCAGTCCATCTTGAGAGTGACAAGGGCATCTTATGCAACGTAGCACAGAGGAACGACATCGTGCAGAGATGGCAAGAGTATTCTCAACACATTGAAGTCCACACCGATGGTATCAAATCTACAGATTGCCTTCTTACCTTAGCATCCAAAGACCTTTCAATATACTTCAAGAATTTTCGAAAACCCCAAGACATTCCTAGACACCGCAAGACCTTGTTTTCTCAAGGCCTTTAAGCGCATACCAATACATCCCAACGCATTCCAAGACAGGCATACCCGTCCCAAGAGATTGGCAGGCATCCCCAGATTTCTCTGAGCATCACAAAGGTTTCCAAAGCGTCATAAACGCATCCAAGCATCACAAGACTCATCCCTTGCCAAGACTCACTTGGATCAATAGGAAGAGAAACGAATTACAATGGCCAGCAGACACAGCTTCCACATCGTCGACTACGTGGTGTTCGGCGCCACCATCCTCATCTCACTGGGCATAGGACTTTACTTTGCTATGTCTGGCGGACGTCAGCGAACAACATCCGAGTTTCTGGTCGGAGGACGTGCCATGAAGTTTCTCCCCGTCGCTGTGTCGCTCATGGTGTCGTTTGAGTCGTCGATCATGATGTTGGGCTATCCGGCAGAAGTATACGTGTATGGAGCTCAGCTTTTTATAGCTCTTTTTGGTTTCATGGGGGGATTTCTGATATGCAGGGTGTTGATGATCCCACTGATTCATCCCCTGAAACTTACAAGCGCTTACGAGGTAAGTTCAGATTAATACAGCGGAACTAGCTTAGACGCGTCAGGAAATCTTTCTAATCAGCCAATCAGCATCGAGTCTCGGTATGAGACCTGCATTGCGTATCTCGCAAACAAAGTAAAACCATCAGTTCCGAATGTAAATAATAAAGACCGCAACATTACATTGTTGACGATAGTTCATACATCCTGTCGAGTGTCATGTCATCTACACTCAAGAGAGAGTACACTATTTGGAACAGTTGTGTTCAATATGAAATTTCTTTTCTTAAAATTAATTTCCGAATCGAGATAATAAAGAAATGAAGTCGAATCGTGTTCGTTGGCTGACGTCTGATTTGCTCAAGAACCCACATATCATTTATTTAGACTGGGCGATCATATTTTGGAGGGGTTGTCAGATAATCACGTAAATAGTTATCGTACTGGAATAAAACATGTGAGGTGAGGTGACATGGGGTTAACGTCGCGTCCAAGATTATTGAACTTATATAGCGACGTACATACACATGTGTGTGTGTGGCTGCTTGTACTTGTCCGGACTGATGCTGATTTATAGTGCTAGCTCACTGAGATATCATGCAGCAGTTTATCATGAATACCCCACTCAGACAAAGTTTACTGACTCCGAGCCGACCAGTTCTTATTTAGCCACTTAATGCCGAGCGCCAGACAGGGTAACAACAAGTACCATCTTTTAACGTCTTTGGGGATTGAACCAAGGATCTTCCGCTCTCCGGGCGGAAGCTCTACCACTACACTAAGGAGGCGGTCTGTAAAACTTGTGATGTTTAATGAGATTTGACAGTGCTATAATCGTTCAATCACTCATCTCAATTACGTACGTAAAGAGTGAAAAGCAATATGAATATAATAATATTTGATGAGTACTTTAAATTTTAAAAAGGTTTACTTCACCTGAATCACTTATATATTTATTTTATGTTTTCAGTATTTGGATGGGCGGTTTAAATCACGTACGATCCGTCAACTTGGAACTACCCTTGGCGCTCTATCATACGTAAGTACGGACAGATACGTATAGGAAAGATCCATACGCTAATGTCTGGGTTATAGTAGCAGCTTATCAACATATACAACCTACAACAGTGCAATTTCAAAATTAAATCTCATAATAATTTAGTTGATATTTTGTCATTCACCATTAGTGAGTGAGTGAGTATGGTTTTACGCCGCTTTTAGCAATATTCCAGCAATATCACGGGGGAGACACCAGAAATGGTCGGGAATCGAACCCGGATCTTCGGCGTGACGAGTAAACGCTTTAACCACTAGGCTGCCCGACCGCCCCGGCATTCACCATCAACAAACATAGAAACTTAGCTGCTCCCCTTTGTGTGCAATCAGGCAACATGCATATCGACTGAAAATTCAGATCAGTACAAGAAAATAGTGTGCCAATAAATCGCTAGAGAATGAAATATACGAGCCCCTTAGTGTTTAACAATGGACGTAAAGGCACTGGACAACGACCGCCGGACTTTGCCGAATGGTGACGGAAGCCGGACAATTAAAAGAGGGGAGCCGTGCAGTTACTAGACTGTGACTAGACAGAGACCCGGTGACAATTGGGTATCCATGTGAAACTGCGCCATCGTACCTCAGCGGGCTAACACTATGAAATATGCATTGATCCGGACTAGTGCACGTGCATGCACGTCGCAAAATAAGTGCAATCTTCAGCAGCCCATATTTGCCGTAAGAGGTAACTATGCCTGTCCTAACAGGGTACTAACAGGATCGGGTGGTCAAGCTCGCTGACTTTGTTGCTACATGTCGTCGCTTATGTTATCAAGTACTGGCTTGTCAGGTCCAGACTCAATTGTTCTCACCCCGCCGTTATATAGATTGAATATTTCTGAATCCGTCCTTAAAAGGAAACATCAAATCAAACATCTCACCCAAGTTCAAACTATTATGCCATTCCAGGTTTTCTACATGGGCGTGGTGATGTTTGGCCCAGCTATAGCACTGGAGGCAGGTACGTGTATGTTTGAAAACATTAAATTATCTGAACAAAAGTGCTCTGGTTATAATGTTATGATGACAGGGAAGAAACGAATTGCCCAGGCATCATTCTCGCCCTGCATTCGACGAATAAAGATGAGTGTGTGTGTGTGTTGGGTTTAACGCCGCTTTTAACAATATTCCAGTAATATCACGGCGTGTCAGCTTAATGTGGGAGGAGAGCCCGAAGTGATGCAGGTCTCAGACGTTTACCACTTCGGTGAAACCCACGAGCACGGGTATGGTGCTGATCACAAACCTAGAAACATAATCGGGGCGAACCGGGATTCGAACCCACAATCATAGGCTTCTGGTGAGCCTAAGGGACGTACCTCTGCACAGCGAATCGCGGCGCCTTAGACGACTAGGCCACCCGTGCCCCCGAATAAACATTCGTCCTGATTATATTATGTTCGCCACACCATACCCGTGTTCATGGGTTCAATCTCAGACCTGCATTCAGACAGTTCAACACGGGTAGTTTTAAGTGAAAGCAAAACCAATGTTACGAAGACGCAAAACGGCCGTGTGTGTGTGTGTGTGTGTGTGTGCGTGTGTGTGTGTGTGTGTGTGTGTGTGTGTGTGTGTGGGTGTGTGTGTGTGTGTGTGTGTGTGTGTGTGTGTGTGTGTGTTTTCATCAACAGATTTACGACTTTCATTCAAGAAACCTCTACGATGACAAATGAAACATTAAAGCGAATCGATAATATTACTTATGTGTGTTATTACAGTATGTGATGGTTATATATATTTTCATATTTCAACGCGAGCCTACCTATCGTTATAATTAGAATAATTTTGAGAGCAGGGTTTGCTTACGTCACAAAACAGCTACCACTAAAATCCTAAAATGCGTTAAGATTCCGATTTTCATGTTGGACAATAAATATCATGTTCGACCGTGTATAGTTCGAATAAATAATTCACGGCATATATAGAAAACTTGAGGCTTACTAGTACTTATAAACAAATTGTGTGCTTTTTATGTGTCAAAAATATAGGCTTTTTTCTAAGGTGTAAACAATTTCTTTTCTGCTACAATGCTTGTTTCGCCCCTGCTATCTCTAAGATAAGGTAGCCAGCATACGTTGTCCGCGCCAAAATAACGTACCGTCACCTTGACTGGACAGTTGTAAAATCTTGAAGGAAAAAAAATCTTGTTCTATTTATAGTGACGGGATTTCCCCAGACAGGATCCATCTTCCTGGTTGCAGCTGCCGCTATTGTATACACAGCCATGGTGAGAAATACGTCAATCCTATTTTATTCATACATGTTATATTTTGTTGGTAAAACTTTCAACACAACCGGTTCATTTTGACGAACCAAGAGCAATACTTTGCAAATCAAGGTTTACCTGTCCATTAAAGTATTTTATCCTAAAATGGTCAAATTGTAATGTTATATACGCCAAAACATGGAACAACCTTTAGAAATAATTGTAATTTAATAATAGTTGAATATATCTGAGAAGTAGCATTAATCTTAAATTGTATGAACCAGGATCGACCTAATCCTTATGTGAAATGTTACTGGAACGGGTGTATTGCTTGCAGGGCGGACTGAAAGCGGTCATCTGGACTGATGTCTTTCAAGCTGTCGTGATGTTTGCGGGCATGCTATCCGTCATCATCAAGGTAGGCCTCCTGGGAATGTCATGAAACTGCGTTGTAAGTACAGGATAAAACACGTCTCCTCGGTTTGGGTTGAAAGGTAAAACCGCGAGTGAGGGAAAAGCTCAGTGTTTTACATTTTCAACCAAAACCGAGGAGGCGTGATTTATCAAACTTATGAACCGTTCCACCGGAACGCCCCGGGCATTGTTGATATTGCCTGGCTTGGAAGTTTACCAACATTTTGAAGGGCCTTCTGTTACTGTGGTGTGGCGTCATCCGAGTGAGTGGAGTCAGTGAGTATGGTTTTACGCCGCTTTTAGCAATATGCCACCAATATGACGGCGGGGGGCACCAGAAATGGGCTTCACACATTATACCCATGTCGGGAATCGAACCCGGGTCTTCGGCATGACGAGCGAACGCTTTAACCACTAGGCTACCCGACCGCCCCGGCGTCATCCGAGGTTTATAAGTCCTGTTTGCAGCGCCTTCTCAGAACTGGTGCAAAACGAACGTAGTTCTTTTCACATCATCAATAATGACAGTGGATTGTTCCGTTGTTTTGTGGACCAAACAATCCAGTGATGAGCAAAGATCCACGTTTGTTTGTTTGTTTGAATGTTGTTTAACGCCGCACTCAGCAATATTCAAACTGAATGACGGCGGTCTGTAAATAATCGAGTCTGGACAAGACAATCCAGTGAGTGGCATCATGGGCATCGATCCACGCAATTAGGATACGATGACATGCATCAACCAAGTCCGCGAGCCTGACCACCCGATCCCGTTACTCGCCTTTTACGGCAAGCATGGGTTGCTGAAGACCTATTCTACCCCGGATGGATCCACATAATGTGGATAAGATGACAAGTAATTAACCAAGGCACCTCGTCCCACCCTTGATCCATTTAGTCACCTCTTGCAACGATTTAACCACTAGGCTACCCGACCGCCTCAAATAGGGATACGAAAGGTAGTCACGAGATATACGTTAATGCTTAAGTGTTATTTCCTGTATTCCTGTAATATAAAATGTCACTTAAATTAGCATCGAAGAAGTCGATTTCGACCAATCAGCATAAAAAATGTCTCCGGTAGGGATAAAAATATTGGCCTTTTTTCAAAGAATCTGTGTATCGTATTTCAGGGCACAATTGACGCAGGTGGAATCAAGGCTGTGTGGACCACTGCGGCTAAGGGAGGACGCCTGAATTTCTTTAAGTAAGATTTGACAGTTTCTTCAAATGATAATTATTCTTTTAATAAATTTTCAACATATTCAGATATGATACATGCACAATTAGTGATTATATTGTTTTGTTTGTGTTTAACGCCGCACTCATCAATATCCCAGCTATATAGCGGCGGAATGTAATAACCAGATAATTCAGTGATCGATATCATGAGCATCTATGCACGCAAATGGTATAAGATGACATGCACCAACCAAGTGCGCGAGCCCGACCACCCGATCTCGTTAGTCGTCTCTTACGACAAACGTCAAACATAACCGCCTCTTTTGAGGGTGATATGCACAATTACGTGGACCTATGAAATAAAACCTTGCGAAAATATCACACAAATTGTAATTGTGATCCTTTATGTTGAGTGACGAAGTGAAATATTCCAGCAATATCACGGCGAGGGGCACCAGAAATGGGACTCACACTGCTGTGTACAGAACCTGAGCTGCCGTGATGACCGAATACCTTACTATGAGGCAACAGTGCTGCTCCTTGTCTCAATGAAGTTGCTGCAACTCAGTTGCACGTCAAATTCAAGACCCTACTTCTGTTAAAATGTACATGTCCTCTTGTTAGCATGAAATGTAGAACATGAAATAATCACTCAGCCTAAACTTACTGATCAACAACACACTACTGTTTTCCACGGGACGTTGTCTAACAATCCATGATGTTGTCATCCAGTTTTGACATGGACCCGACTGTCCGTCACACGTTCTGGGGCCTGTTTCTGGGGACATTCGCTCGGTCGTCCGGCCTGATCTTCAACCAGTCCACTATACAGAGGGTCTGTTCCACGCCTACACTCGCAGCAGCCAAGAAGTGAGTCGCAGCAGTAACTGTAGACTACGTTTATAACGAACACGCTACTCACCAAATGGCGGATATAACGAACTGTTTTGGGGTACCGGGTATTTGCTGTATATAAGCTTACAACGAAGTTCGGAACTAAAATTAGTGGTCCCGTTGAGTTCTATATAAACTTAGTTTACTGTATTTTATTCGCACTTCCTGTAATTGTCTTAAACAGACCATATTAAATAGATATCAATGTTTTAATGTTAAAGTTAGTAAATCGCCATCGACAATAACCAATTAGTTAATGAAAGCGCCCAAACCTTTTCCATATTATAACATATAACCTGTCAATACAAAAAAACAACAACCCTTAATTTTCTGCCCAAACAGACCCCACTTGGCGTAAAGGGCAAATAGCTGTTGAAAAGATGTGAATGGACCACTAAAAATCAGTGATGACAACAGCACTTGAGTCAACTGAACGATTCCGACTGTATCATCAGCATTTAAGAATCGACCTTCACTTTGTGCGAGTTCACTGGAGTATGAACCTTCATTGAGTGAGCACGCAGCAATATTCCAGCTATATGACGGCGGTCTGTAAATAATCGATTCTGGACCAGACAATCCAGTGATTAATATCATGAGCATCGATCCACGCAATTGGGATCGATGACATGCATCAACCAGGTCAGCGAGCCTGACCACTCGATCCCATTAGTCGCCTCTTATGACAAGCATAGTCGCCTTTTACGACAAGCATGTGTAGCTGAAGCTATTCTACCCACGGGTCGCGGCGTTAACCAACAAACCAACAAAAAAACACACATTTAGTCGCCTCTTTCGACTTGCTGGGAACAAACTGTAAGCCTACAATCTTCACTGGACATCCACGCCATTGTCCAACTAATGTTTTTAGCTATTTCAGTTACTTTATGCCAGGGATTGACATCAAATTGTTTTGTTCTTTGCAAGCAAAGGAGAATTGGATTCAGCAAATCAATAAAAATAATACGTTCCTCAGTTAATTTGCAAAAAAGGTTTTAAATGTACAGGCAATTTGTAAAGTGAATGCGTGAATAAGACAATTTTTGTCGAGTGATATTTTTGGCCATTTTCAATGGTAACTGAATTCAGACATCGACTGGAACACCTGTATAACGTTGCTATGATATCTCTGTCCTTTAGAGTGATGCTGATTGTGAGTCCTGCGTTCTGGATAACACTGACGGTGGGCATGATCGAGGGCATCGTCGCATACGCCTACTACGTGAACGTCAGATGTGACCCTTTGGAGTCCGGACAAATACACAATCCGAACCAGGTCTGTTGGTTTATTTAATCATTAAGCAAGCGCATCATCACAAGTGCGGATACAGCAGAAGGGACAGAACCTTCCATGGACATAGATCTGGCAACAATTTGCGTTTGTTTTAGCCAGATTTTGTCAATTAATTGGTGTTTGTTAAAAACATGTTACGAAATGGTTGAGGTAAATGGCATTTTACACGATGGTAAGGAGGCTGAAAAAGATATGATTGCGGAACCTTGCCCTTTGGATCCACGAATGTTTCAGAGTCGTTATTGTGTTTTGATGTTAATTAACCAAACACAATATGACAATAATAAATCGCTGAACTTGAAAAAAATAAAACTGCCTCCGTGGCCTAGTGGTAGAGCGTTGGCCCGGAGAGAGGAAGGTCGGGGTTCGACCCCCTGCTGCGTCATACCAAAACACGTTAAAAGATGGTACTTGTTGTAACCATGCCAGTGCTCGGCATTAAGGGCTACAACAAGGACTGGTCGGCTTGGAGTCAGTATACTGAGTGGGGTATCCATGTTAAACTGCGGCATGGTATCTCAGTTGGCTAGCACTCTAAAAACGGCATAAGTCTGGACTAGTACAAGCAGAAATACACACAAGCACATACACTAACTTTTAAAACTCAATTTTAAAAAGCAAAAGTTAGGTTGATTACAAGATATATTGGATAGATATTGATATCCTTAACAGACACTGCTTATCATATGCATGTTACTTGGTAGAATCAATTTAGCCTGCTTGTGATAGCAGCAAGAGTTCAACATGCCATGGAATAAAAATTATTATTTTGACAAAATTGTCATTTGTTTAGTCCTCTGTGTGTAAACAGCTGTTGAGCTTTCATCCTGAATGCCAGAATGTCATAGTGAGTACGTAAGGACGCCTCATTTAGAGTTGGCACAAAAATCACAGCGGGGATATGAGAAAGGAGTGATCTGAGGGCTCGACACGAAACCGGGCCTATACTGTGCCGACCCAACACTGCAACCACAGGGTTGCTTTTAACTTATTGCAAACAACTCAAAGCGTGAAACTGTTTTGAGTGGAGTCAATTACACAACAACTGCAAGACTCTTTTGGCATAACAACTTTCTTCACTAAAATGGAAGCCTCTTATGAGGAACATCACAGTTAGAAATACTTTACGGACACTCTGTCATACCTTCGAGAGCTGAATGATCTCTTGTCAGACACTCTCTCACCCAAACACTCATTACTTCGAGGGCTCAAGGATCTCCTGCTCTCGAACCCATACACTGTCATTCCTTCGAGGGCTGAATGATCTCTTGTCAGACACTCTCTCACCCAAACACTCATTACTTCGAGGGCTCAAGGATCTCCTGCTCTCGAACCCATACACTGTCATTCTTTCCAGGGCTCAAGGATCTCTTGTCAGACTCTCTTTCACCCATACACTGTCATTCCTTCGAGGGTTCAAGGATCTCTTGTCAGACACTCTCTGTCCCATACACTGTCATACCTTCGAGGGCTCAAGGATCTCTTGTCAGACACTCTCTCACCCATACACTGTCATACCTTCGAAGGCTCAAGGATCTCTTGTCAGACCCTCTCTCACCCATACACTGTCATACTTTCGAAGGCTCAAGGATCTCTTGTCAGACACACTCTCACCATACACTGTCATACTTTCGAAGGCTCAAGGATCTCTTGTCAGACACTCTCTCCATACACTGTCATACTTTCGAAGGTTCAAGGATCTCTTGTCAGACACTCTCTTTCACCCATACACTGTCATTCCTTCGAGGGTTCAAGGATCTCTTGTCAGACTCTCTTTCACCCATACACTGTCATTCCTTCGAGGGTTCAAGGATCTCTTGTCAGACACTCTCTCGCCCATACACTGTCATACCTTCGAAGGCTCAAGGATCTCTTGTCAGACACTCTCTCTCCATACACTGTCATACCTTCGAGGGCTCAAGGATCTCTTGTCAGACACTCTCTCTCCATACACTGTCATACCTTCGAGGGATGAAGGATCTCTTGTCAGACACTCTCTCTCCATACACTGTCATACCTTCGAGGGCTCAAGGATCTCTTGTCAGACACTCTCACCATACACTGTCATACCTTCGAGGGCTGAAGGATCTCTTGTCAGACACTCTCTCCATACACTGTCATACCTTCGAGGGATGAATCATCTCCAGCCAGACACTCTCTCACGGAGACACTCTGTCACCCATACACTGTCATACCTTCGAAGGCTCAAGGATCTCTTGTCAGACCCTCTCTCACCCATACACTGTCATACTTTCGAAGGCTCAAGGATCTCTTGTCAGACACACTCTCACCATACACTGTCATACTTTCGAAGGCTCAAGGATCTCTTGTCAGACACTCTCTCCATACACTGTCATACTTTCGAAGGTTCAAGGATCTCTTGTCAGACACTCTCTTTCACCCATACACTGTCATTCCTTCGAGGGTTCAAGGATCTCTTGTCAGACTCTCTTTCACCCATACACTGTCATTCCTTCGAGGGTTCAAGGATCTCTTGTCAGACACTCTCTCGCCCATACACTGTCATACCTTCGAGGGCTCAAGGATCTCTTGTCAGACACTCTCTCCATACACTGTCATACTTTCGAAGGCTCAAGGATCTCTTGTCAGACACTCTCTCTCCATACACTGTCATACCTTCGAGGGCTCAAGGATCTCTTGTCAGACACTCTCTCTCCATACACTGTCATACCTTCGAGGGATGAAGGATCTCTTGTCAGACACTCTCTCTCCATACACTGTCATACCTTCGAGGGCTCAAGGATCTCTTGTCAGACACTCTCACCATACACTGTCATACCTTCGAGGGCTGAAGGATCTCTTGTCAGACACTCTCTCCATACACTGTCATACCTTCGAGGGATGAATCATCTCCAGCCAGACACTCTCTCACGGAGACACTCTGTCACGTGACAACTCCATCTTGCCTGTTTTTCATAATTTTTTTGTTTCTTTTAGATTATACCATATATGGTAATGGATATTTTCCGGGGCTTTCCCGGAATGCCTGGACTCTTCCTGGCCGCTTTATTCAGTGCGTCTTTAAGGTAGGTCATTCCAGGACTCTTCCTGGTCCCAGTGCGTCTTTAAGGTAGGTCATTCCAGGACTCTTCCTGGTCCCAGTGCGTCTTTAAGGTAGGTCATTCCAGGACTCTCCCTTGTCCCAGTGTGTCTTTAAGGTGGGCTGTGCCTGAATTCTTCCTGGCACGTATTTAATGTAAGTAATGCAAGGTTGTTTTTTATAGTAAGTTCTGCCTGGAATCTTCTTGGTCGCGTTATTCAATGCACCCTTAAGGTAGGTAGTCTACTGGACTCTCCATGTTCTCGGTGGCGTTTTGCGGTAGCTTATACCTAGACTCTTCCTGGTCGCTATATTCAGTGCATCTTTAAGGCAGGTTGTGTACTGGACCCTCCCAGCCCGACTTATTCAGTGTGTCTGTGGGGTATTTATTGTCTCGGAAATCTTCACATGAGCAGCGTTTATCATCTTCCCGAGGCAAGATGTGTTTATGTTTCCATTATAAACTTATTTGCTTTTAGGACGTGCGGCGACTGTTATAACTTTTTATTAAATTTCTGGAATAAAACACGACTCTTGACGCAGTACCTGGTGAGGAGCACTAAATCCCGTACTTAATTGCACTGTATGTTGGGAGCTTGGTTCTGTATGTCATTGTTTCCGACATGTGGAGCGACGCTGTGTTGACAATACATTCACCCTACACAATACATGTCTAGAAGAAGGCCAATTCACATTTATTATAATTTGTATATGATTCACCGTTGTCATTAAGCAGAATACATAACCACTGTTAATTTCATATAAATATAAGTCTTATCATTTTGCAACATTCAAATCCTATGCTCGGTCGGGTAGCCTAGTGGTTAAAGCGTTCGCTCGTCACGCCGAAGACCCGGGATCGATTCCCGACATGGGTACAATGTGTGAAGCCCATTTCTGGTGTCCCCCGCCGTAATATTGCTAGAAGCGGCGTAAAACCATACTACTCACTATGCTACAGTGAAATAATAAATAGATATAAAAATATCATTTTCAAATTTTCAATAAAAAAGAAATATCAACTTTATCACCCACATGTACGTCTACTTTCTTAATCATGATGTTTCAGGCGTCCCCCGCCATGAACCTAATAGCGGAATATTGCTGAAAGCGTAAAACCATACTCACTCAAACACTCCTATTCATGCAAAAACCTACCATCTACTTATTACGAACAGAACATATGCTGGACTGATTCGCGTGTATGTAACTAAAACATTTAAGGAAGAACCACATGTATTCTCTCAACAGCACAATTTCATCTGGACTCTCCAGCCTGTCAGCGATGACCTGGGAGGACATTCTCAAGCCTCGACTACCAAACGTTTCCGACGTGACAGCAACGGTGATAGCTAAAGTATCAGGTGAATGTTACCTCACGTTTAGTGACATGTTGTGCTTCCCGTAGTTCATGCATATTGAGGCTGTCCTACTTTCACAAAGCATCATTTAGTGGGACAGCATTTGCATAGGTGACACATGCACCTGACGAGGGGCTGAGCGATTTTTTAATATAATCGCATCCCGAAAATGATGTGGAACATGATTTGGCCTCAGATCAGCCCAAAGAAATATATTTTTCACGAGACACGCTAAATTTTCTGAAATAATGTATTTTGTGTAAAACAATGTATGTTTTGAAGCAGTGTTGAAATAATATTCGTTTATATTATGCCTGGCACTTAAAGGGCAAGTTCACACGGAAATGAACCTAATTTTCTTGTACTTTTTCCACAATAAAAGTGTTAACCTAGAAGTGTCATAGACAAAAATATAAAAATATCACAATTAATTAACATATGTTTCGCATTAAAACGATTTATATTTTTCACATTTACCAAGTGTTCTATTTCCATAACAAAAACACCATGGCTTATGCCCCTTGCAATATGACGTCATTGGTGCCAATTGATAAACATTATGACGTCATCATGCTTTGTTAGAGCCGCTTCACGTGGTGTAGGTACAGGTGTGTGATTCTAGCGTCTCAGATGCCAGCCAGCATAGTGTTATGCTGAGTCACCACTGCGCCGGAGTGTGTCGTAGGCCATGTTGTTTTACCGCAAACTGGTCCTTGATATCTTTTGCGTTGAGAATAGACAGGGACCCAGTTGAATTGGCACCAATTACGTCATAATCTAAGGGGGATACCTCAGGCCTATTTCGCTCGTAAAACGAAGGCCTCATAACGGCATATCATTTTAACACTATTGTGAGCTTCCTACTTTCACTGTGAAAAAAAAATAGTGTATATTTTCAAACACAGATACTAATTAATTCTAAAATTGCGTTTTGTTTAGAAAAAGAAAGAAAGTGATTTTTGCGTGTACACTTCCCCTTTAAAGAGCAAACAAACAAGGACTGGTCGGCACTGTGTAATGTAACTGAGCAGGGTATCAAGATAAACTGTAAGCAGAGGGCCGGTATCTCATTGGGCTGGTACCATAAAGCAAGCGTAGCTCCGGGTTAGTAAAAGCAGCCATACACACACGTGCATGTACGTCGCTTTGTAAGTGCAATAATTGTTTAGGCGACGTTTTGACTTCATATAACTCAACCATGTGGACACACCCACACTCTTCCAAAAGATCGGTCCCTAACAAAATTGGATGACTTGAGTGAGTGAGTGAGTATGGTTTTACGCCGATTTTAGCAATATTCCAGCAATATCACGGCGGGGGACACCAGAAATGGGCTTCACACATTGTACCCATGTCGGGAATCGAACCCGGGTCTTCGGCGTGACGAGCGAACGCTTTAACCACTAGGCTACCCGACCGCCCCTGGATGACTTGAGGCGTTAATAGTGTGAATATGTGTGTGTGTAAGTATGCGTGTTGGCGTGTGTGTGGTGTCGGGGTGACATGTGTTAAACGTCTTGTGCCATACCATAAGCTACTCTTTTCAGAGAGTGAGTGAGTGAGTTGGGGTTATCGCCGCTTTTAAAAGTATTCCAGTTATATCACGGCGTGTCAGCTTAATGTGGGAGGAAAGCCCGAAGTGATGCAGGTCTCAGACGTTTACCACTTCGGTGAAACCCACGAGCACGGGTATGGTGATGACAAACCTAGAAACATAATCGGGGCACAATCATAGGTTTCGGGCGTGCCCAAGGTACGCAACTCTGCACAGCGAATTGCGGCGCCTTAGACGACTTGGCCACCCGTGCCCCCTCTTTTCAGGGAAGCAAATTGTATTACACTGATCATTTTATTTTCAGTGGTTGTGTTCGGTCTCTTAGCCTGTGGAGTGGCCATACTCATTTCCCTCATTGGAGGAACACTCACGCAGGTGGTGTATAATGTTTTTATTCCTATATTCCTCATTGGAGGAATACTCACGCAGGTGGTGTATAATGTTTCCATTCGGATATTCCTAATTGGAGGAGCTCTCACGCATGTGGTGTATAATGTTTCCATTCCGATATTCCTCATTTGAGGATCTCTCACGCATGTGGTGTATAATGTTTTCATTCTTATAGTCCTCATTGGAGGAATACTCACGCAGGTGGTGTATAATGTTTTCATTCCGATATTCCTCATTAGAGGAACACTCACGCAGGTGGTGTATAATGTTTTCATGCTTATATTCCTCATTGGAGGAATACTCACGCAGGTGGTGTATAATGTTTTCATTTTGATATTCCTCATTAGAGGAACACTCACGCAGGTGGTGTATAATGTTTTCATTCTTTTATTCCTCATTGGAGGAACACTCACGCAGGTGGTGTATAATGTTTTCATTCTTATATTCCTTATTGGAGGTGCTCTCACGCAGGTGGTGTATAATGTTTTCATTCCGATATTCCTCATTGGAGGAATACTCACGCAGGTGGTGTATAATGTTTTCATTCTTATAGTCCTCATTGGAGGAATACTCACGCAGGTGGTGTATAATGTTTTCATTCCGATATTCCTCATTAGAGGAACACTCACGCAGGTGGTGTATAATGTTTTCATTCTTATATTCCTCATTGGAGGAATACTCACGCAGGTGGTGTATAATGTTTTCATTTTGATATTCCTCATTAGAGGAACACTCACGCAGGTGGTGTATAATGTTTTCATTCTTTTATTCCTCATTGGAGGAACACTCACGCAGGTGGTGTATAATGTTTTCATTCCTATATTCCTTATTGGAGGTGCTCTCACGCAGGTGGTGTATAATGTTTTCATTCTTATATTCCTCATTGGAGGAATACTCACGCAGGTGGTGTATAATGTTTTCATTCTTATATTCCTCATTGGAGGAACACGCACGCAGATGGTGTATAATGTTTTTATTCTTATATTCCTCATTGGAGTAACACTCACGCAGGTGGTGTATAATGTTTTCATTCTTATATTCCTCATTGGAGGCACACTCACACAGGTGGTGTATAATGTTTTCGTTCTTATATTCCTCATTGGAGGAACACTCACGCAGGTGGTGTATAATGTTTTCATTCTTATATTCCTCATTGGAGGAGCTCTCACCAAGGTGGTGTATAATGTTTTTTTCATTCCTATATTCCTTATTGGAGCAACACTCATGCAGGTGGTGTATAATGTTTTTATTCCTATATTCCTCATTGGAGAAACACTCACGCAGGTGGTGTATAATGTTTTCATTCTTATATTCCTCATTGGAGGACCACTCAAGCAGTTGGTGTATAATGTTTTCATTCTTATATTCCTCATTGGAGGAACACTTACGCAGGTGGTGTATAATGTTTCCATTCTTTTATTCCTCATTGGAGGAACACTCACGCAGGTTGTGTATAATGTTTTAATTCATATATTCCTCATTGGAGGAACACTAACGCAGGTGGTGTATAATGTTTTCATTCTTCTATTCCTCATTGGAGGAATACTCACGCAGGTGGTGTATAATGTTTTCATTCTTATATTCCTCATTGGAGGAACACTCACGCAGGTGGTGTATAATGTTTTCATTCCTATATTCTTCATTTGAGGAACACTCACGCAGGTGATGTATAATGTTTTCATTCATATATTCCTCATTGGAGGAACACTTACGCAGGTGGTGTATACTGTTTTCATTCATATATTCCTCATTGTAGGAACACTTACGCAGGTGGTGTATAATGTTTTAATTCATATATTCCTCATTAGAGGAACACTAACGCAGGTGGTGTATAATGTTTTCATTCATATATTCCTCATTGTAGGAACACTCACGCAGGAAGTGTATAATGTTTTCACATGTTTAAATATCTGATTCGCATCATTTTGGTGACCGTTTAGATAATAGGCTTGTGCAAAGAGGAAAAACAAAAGGATGTTTCACATGTGCTGAAAATGTATTATTCCTTTATTGACATTTATTCTTAATGAATTCATCATTGCCAGTCACTTGGTATGATGAACGTTATTTAACTTTGTCCATGTGTCTGTAAATGACAATAACGTTGAACAAAAGTATGTTTACAAACCGTTTTATATACATTTATGGAAGGACGAGGCAGAATATTGACACAAAAATGACATTAATAACTTCAAAAGAAAAAACAGTTTCGGCCAAAGACTTGCTCATGATAATATTTTGTCTATCAAATGCTTCCCGAAAACATAAAACGAATGTTTCTTAATCGTTTTATTATAAATATTATATTGATATCGATATGTACAAAAATACATTTTTTCCAAGTTCAAGTGATATAAACAGCTTGGGTCAAAGATTTGCTCATGGTCAAACTTTTCTAAAATGCTTCCTGAAAACAAAAAACTAAAATCTACATTTAGTGTCATTGTAAGTGTAAATCGTGTAATTGATATAACGGCGACATAACATTTTCCGTAACCATTATCATAAGAAATCATTGTACGATTACGAGTCTATTAGAGACATGTGTTTATGAATCACTATGAAATAAGGTTGATGCCAGGTGTCTGACAAAAGATGAGCGTATCCTGCCCATCCGGCGGCACCTGTCACAAACACATGCAAAGGCAAGTCAAATGTTCACCTGGAAAAAAAAAACACGGGAACATACGGTACAAGTCAATATAGAGAATTGCATCACTGATGTGTCAAACTTGGAAATGTAAATTTTAAAAGCATTATTATGTCTAAATGAGTGAGTGAGTTAATATGTTGTTACGTCGCTTTTAGCAATAGTCCAGCATTATCACGACGGGGGATACTAATGTTTTTTTCAACACAAATTAATTCAGGTCTCATTCACATGATAAATGTATAAAAGAATCTCGATTATTTACAGGTTGTCATGCAAAAGATTGAATATTGGTAACCCCGGATTTAAACATCGTTTACTCACTTACTCAAGTTAAAATATTCAGGCCTACAAAACAACGGCGCGACGGACATGCAGAACAATCATAATCAGTGTCTAGATTATTTACAGGTCGTCATACTATAGATGGATTATTGGTTACCCCGGATTTAAACATCGTTTACTCACTCACTCAAGTTAAAATATTCAGGCCTACAAAAAGATAGCGTGACGGACAGGCAGAACAATCATAATCAGTGTCTAGATTATTTACAGGTCGTCATACTATAGATGGATTATTGGTTACCCCGGATTTAAACATCGTTTACTCACTCACTCAAGTTAAAATATTCAGGCCTACAAAAAGACGGCGTGACGGACAGGCAGAACAATCATAATCAGTGTCTAGATTATTTACAGGTCGTCATACTATAGATGGATTATTGGTTACCCCGGATTTAAACATCGTTTACTCACTCACTCAAGTTAAAATATTCAGGCCTACAAAAAGATAGCGTGACGGACAGGCAGAACAATCATAATCAGTGTCTAGATTATTTACAGGTCGTCATACTATAGATGGATTATTGGTAACCCCGGATTTAAACATCGTTTACTCACTCACTCAAGTTAAAATATTCAGGCCTACAAAAAGATAGCGTGACGGACAGGCAGAACAATCATAATCAGTGTCTAGATTATTTACAGGTCGTCATACTATAGATGGATTATTGGTTACCCCGGATTTAAACATCGTTTACTCACTCACTCAAGTTAAAATATTCAGGCCTACAAAAAGACGGCGTGACGGACAGGCAGAACAATCATGTTTATCCTTTTTGATGACACCTGGCGTCACCGCTGTTTTGCTTTTTGAGTCCAATGGAACCTGTTTCGGCGGTTAATTGGAATTGACGATTCTCTAGCTTTGACGTTTTACATGATTGTATTTATGAAAGAAACATGATACTTGTTTCAGATTGCGACGACGATCTTATCTGCCTTCAATGGCCCTCTGTGCGGCCTGTTTCTCCTCGCATCTCTCTGTCCATGGGCTAACGCTAAAGCAAGTAATCCATTATTATTTCAGACCCGTGAAGATCCGGTCTTCTGCAACCAATGCTTGCTGTAAAAGGTGACTATGCTTGTCGTAAGAGACGACTAACGGGATACGGTGGTCAGGCTTCCTGACTTTGTAATCGTTTTGCAATTGCGTGGATCGATGCTCATGATGTTAATCTCTGGATTGTCTTGTCCAGACTCGATTATTTTCAGACCGCCGTCATGTAGCTGGAATATAGCTGAGTGCGGCGTTACACAACAAACAAACAAACAAACAAACAAACAAAAAATTAATATTCAAATGCATAATTTATTATTAGTTTTCATACTTTGGGTTTCCACAGGGAGCTATAACTGCTACCGTTATGAGTACTGCGCTAATGATGTGGCTGTGTGCTGGAGCCACGTTCTCTGGAGCCACGAGACCGACTCCTTGGTTGGCTCCAGCCCCAACTGACCAGTGCTCTGTGGATAATATGACGTCACTGATCACGAATACAACAGGACTCCTGACGTCAACAGCAGGACTGTATGACGTAACAACCGCTGCAGATGTCGCCGAACCGGTGTAAGGGCGTTATAAACTTTAGTGGACATTGGACAAATCAATTACCCATTGGGATGAGGGAATAGGTTTAATATGTGCACGCGGTGCTTTGACTTGGCAGAAGTTTCAGCCTGTCTTAGTCTCGATTGTGTGAGGTGGTATTTATGCAGTTTTGGACAGTATTATAGCTATATCCGGTAATGTGACTGTTAACCTTCAAGCACCTTACTGGGAAATTTCGCTGTATACTCCCCAGGGAGCTGAGAATGAAAAATCATTTGAGCCGGGGGTACGTTATGTATGGAAGTATGTGCTTTACAAGAGGATTATTATCATTATCATTATTATCATTATTATTATTATTATTATTATTATTATTATTTACGTTATTTGGGTGATCCTGGCACAGTCAGGCAGATTAGGCTCATCATCAGCTCAGGGCCCTTGCCCCCCTCTACACGCAGCCCAGACAGCGAATGGGACTTCTCCCAGGAAGCGCTGCCTAGTCAAACTTTTCGGAGAATGTGAAACTCCCCAACACTGCAGCCTTCTGCATTACCCAGATTGTCAGAAGGGCTGTATTCCTGGTAGCAAACCCTGGTGCTCTCCCAATGTCAGTCAACAGATTGGGAGGTACCAAACCTAAGGCACCGAGAATACTGGGGAGTCGGACAACTTGGTACTTGGGCTGCAAGCGTGTTATCCATGTTAAACTGCGGTATGATATCTCGCGGTAGTGAGCTAACACTATAAAACCGCCATCAGTCAGCACTAGCACAAACAACCACACACGTGCACGTCGCTATATAACGAACCGACTTAATGTCTCTGTTGCATGTAACATGAACATAATATACAGTAACTTGTTTCCAGAGAAGATTCTGCAAAAATATGTCTGGCACTGCACCTCAAGCATTCGTAACTGTTGCCACGAATCGGGTGTCCTCTCACTTCTAAAATCTAGCATCTTTTTTGTTCCAGCACGGGGTTCAATGTCATATACACTCTGTCGTATCTGTGGCTGGGCGCTCTCGGCATCGCTATCGTGCTGATCGTGGGGTTCTTCGTCAGCTGGGCGACAGGTAGGGAGTACTTAGGGGAGAGACCACCTAAAAATCGGGTGTGGGGGATTCTGGTATTTTTGTTAGAGACAACATATTATTTCCGTCACTGCTTCAAAACATACGACCGCCACCGTGGTCTTGTGGTAGAGCGTCCGCCCGGAGAGCGGAAGGTCCAGGGTTCGATCCCGGGCCGCGTCAGACAAAAAGACGTTAAAAGATTGTACTTGTTGTTACCCTGTCTGGCGCTCGGCATTAAGGGGCTAAAACAAGGACTGGTCGGCTCGGAGTCAGTATACTGTGTCTGAGTGGGGTATTCATGTTAAACTGAGGCATGGTATCTCAGTGAGCTAGCACTACAAATCGGCATCAGTCCGGACTAGTACAAGCAGCCACACACACACATACACGTGCATGCACGTCGCTATATAAGTGCAATAATCTTGGACGCGACGTTAAACCCAATTTCACCTCACCTCACCTCAAAACATACAATCTCTTTCTCTGAAAGGAGGCACCAAATAAAATATTTTAATCACAATTTCAGGATACTACCATCTCCAGTGAACAATTTTATCTTTTGGAATACCTCAGACGAAATTATGTTTATACATAATTGTTCACCTGAAATAACACGAGAACATATGGTACAGGTCAAATTAGGGACTGCATCGGACATCAATTTTGTCACTGATGCGTCAATTTGGAAATTAAGCTTTTGTTATCATGTTTCCATTCGGAACAGAAAGTCGACAGATTTAAGGTTTAAGATGTTTTATTCAACACAGCTGAAAGCAACATGCCTTCGGATGGGTTTTATATTCTTATTGTAAGCTCTTGATAATATTCATATCTAATGAACCGTCTCCTGGGTCTAGTAGTAGAGCGTCCGCCCGGAGAGCGGAAGGTCCGGGGTTCGATCCCCGGCCGTGTCATACCAAAAGACGTTAAAAGATGGTACTTGTTGTTACCCTGTCTGGCGCTCGGCATTAAGGGGGTTGGTCGGCTCGGAGTCAGTATACTGTGTCTGAGTGGGGTATTCATGTTAAACTGTGGCATGGTATTTCAGTGAGCTAGCACTATAAATCGGCACCAGTCCGGGCTAGTACAAGCAGCCACACACACACACACACACACACACACACACACACACACACACACACACACACAGGTGTGTGTGCATGCACGTCGCTATATAAGTGCAATAATCTTGGACGCGACGTTAAACCCCATTTCACCACCAGATCTAATGGGTATGTAAATAATTTGATATAACGTCCACCCTCTCTAAATATTATGAACATTGGATGTTTATGTCATTCAATTTTGGCATTTATTTTGTTTATGACAGGGTTTAACAGAGATGGGAGCCTCGATCCTCGCTATGTCATATTTCTATCTGACGTCGTCAGAAATATACTGAACTGCGGGAAAAAGACCAAGACAGATGAGGTATTCACGTTAATTTCCCATATGTCGTTCAGACACGTCTACAGGCGTGAATGCTACTTGATTCCTACAGTTTGTACTGCTAAATGTATTTGGTAAAGGCTGGTAATTTGGTAAATGTAAAGGCTGTTTCATGCTTCCTAAATAAATTACCCACATATATTTTTCAGAAGGCTGTAACGCAGGACAGTACCTACAAAACCGTGATTGGAATAGAAACCGGACCAACAGCCGAGACAGAACTACCACTGCTTGCTACGTCCGGCAAGGACAGATCTGTCTCTGATGTTCCCTCTCACCCCAAGAAGGACGAAACTTAGTCCTGTGTGCGTTGATAGTTTGATAGGCACCTGCAAAAACAGGTATCCGTCCTCCCAAAACATTCTGTTTTGGCCGGGGATGATTCATATTTATTTAATTGCTCTGTCTCGACTATTCATAGGCTGTATAAACATAGTATCTTTGCAAGAAAAAACATTTGTTCTAGATATCTTAGCGTTCCTTAATTACAGAAGGGGACATCTTTCAAATAGCCCTAACTTAAAATCTAAAGACCCTAGGTTAAACAAACTAACTGACCGTCACGTTTGTTTATTTTGTATCTGAGATAACCATTACGAATGGTGTTTTATTTGAGGGCACTGTGGGCCAATAGGAGGCCTATTTGCGCCCATTAGCTAACACGAAATAGAAAACGAAATTATCGCCCTTTCATAGTTTCGTCATCGATGACGTTTGTTTAGTAGTGTTGAATGCTGCGAAGCTACGTTAGGGTGGGTTTTTCATACACATTTTACTAACGGTGTATCGCATTTACACGTGAACTTATAATATGTTAAAAGCCTTGGATGAAAAGGGTAAATATTGTTTTTTGGGTGTCTGAGATCAGGAATATTCTTTGTATGTCTGTTTTTTCTCTTGCATGGATATCTCAAGATGTTGGAAATGATAAATTATTTATCTTCATGCTTAAGCAAGGATTACTTGATATATTTTAACAAGATTGGCACTGTCAAATATCATCCTCAAGGTTTTCATGCCATTATACGAATAAAAAATCATTACTTGTTCTTGAAAAATATGTATCTGTACTTCAGGATAGAACTTTGAGATGATCTTTGTGTAAATTACGTATATCATTACATAATTTTAATGTTAATAATCTCAGAAAGAAAAATGTACAAAATAAAGAAAGTAGTTCATGCCGTTATTGTAATGAAGGCTATGTTGAGGATTAGTTTCATGTACTTCTCATTTGTAAATATTATCAGTTTCTTAGATATAGATACCTCCCTATGATTTCACTATGTGCAAAGATAAACAACTGATGAAAAATTTGTTGAACTCCCGCAATGCAAATACAATATCATCTCTGTCAATATTCCTGAAGAATATGTTTGAAATTAGACGATAATATTTTATGTAAACTTATTATTACCTACACGTGACTGTACAATGTTGATACCAAAAAAACACTTCTGTAATGTAGGTCGTATGGCCTAAAATATTGAATAAACTTCTGTCTGTCTGTGAACTTGTAGTGTTTGATTAAAAATAGAGGCAGTCAAGCAACCCAGTATGGGATGCCTGTTGTTAACACCATCCTGTGTTCGAGCGTTTCCTATATAAAAACTTGCTGACCTTAACTGATTCTATTATTTGCAGACCATTGCGATGTTGCTGTATTCTGCTTGCTTTGTAGGCATCACTGTCGTGATCGACGGTCTGCATCACTTCTTTCCTTCAACGTGGAATTGACACATTTATAAATGTCTGAAAGTTAAAAGTGTGTGCGTGCATGCGTGCATGCGTGCGTACGTGCGTGCGTGAGTGCTTTTGTGTGTGTGTGCTCGTTACTATGACATTTGTCTTTTCGTCCGATCTCAATGACTGCAGTCTCGTGTAGATTCCGGGTTGGAATAGTGGTCTTCAGCAACCCATGCTTGTCGGAAGAAGTGACTAACGGGATTGGGTGGTCAGGCTCGCTGATTTGGTTAATGCATGTCATCGAATCCCATTTGCGTAGATCGATGCTCATGATGTCAATCACTGGATTGTCTGATCCAGATGAGATTGTTTACAGACCGCCATCATATAGCTGAAATATTGCAGAGTGTGGGGTTAAACAACAAACAATGACTGCACGTGCCAACCAAATTATATTGCCCGAGAACGTTCTGTGGTAGCGACTTGGCTCCAGAGAGGGATTGGGAAAAAAAAGTCCACTAACGTTATACGTTTCGTAGGTCTATTAATATATTCAACGTGTGCAACATTATCGGTACTGTCATTAATACATTTACACAATATGTATTATGAATTACCCTTAGACAGTAAGGGTCCTCTCAGATTTTTTTCAAAAAAGCTTCACATCAAGAAAATAGTACCTTGAAAGTAAGCTGATCTTTATCCAGGTGGCCTGACTGAACATTTGATTTTTTTGGGGGGGCGTTGTGATTTGGTATGGAGACAGAATAATTTTCTCAGCTAAATGTGCTGCTGCAAAACCAGGCAATATTTTGAATAAAACTATACTGAGGGAAACAAATAAGGGAACACATGAAAATACATGTTCCTGTATTCTTTTCCAGGTTTCTTCGCATGCTTTGATTTGCTCTGTGTTCCCTTATTTGTTTCCCTCCGTATATGAGCATATATACTATTTCTAAAACACATTGCAACAATGTAAATGGGTGGCAGATAATTTCTGGTATTTTTTACAGTCTCAGCATGTCCAAACTTTCCACTCTTGGGAAAAGTCAAAAATCTCTGAAAGATGATAATACGAAGCAGTGAAATGTTTGAATAGTTGACATATTTTGAGAGTTGACGCAGAATTTAATGTGGTGATGATATACTTAAAGTGTAAACATGCTTGCAGCACTTACTGACTCTCACACCGTTTAGATAGATCGGCCTTTCCATGTTCCACTAGCATATATCAAAGCCTAGTTTTTACCCTTGCCACATCATGACCACCTTTCTTGGCTCGATATAGTATTGGTTGTCTCCCATTAGTTACACGTCCCATTTGTCACACACCTATCTATATTCCCCGTTGTTACACCGCCTGGGTAGAGGCCATGGTGGGATTAATTACGACAACACCTATTGAGTAATGGACCAGTCCTAACTGGAGTAAGACCGCTTCCGTGGGCTAGTGGTAGAGCGATGATATCTCAGTGAGCTAGCACTATAAATCGGCATCAGTCCGGACTAGAACAAGCAGCCACACACATACATACACTTGCATGCACGTCGCTTTATAAGTGCAATACTCTTGGACGCGACGTTAAACCCTATTTCACCTGGGTATATAGGATTTGTTTCAGTAGCTTGTACCTCCTATTCAGACCCGTGAAGATCCGGGGTAGAATAGGTCTTTAGCAACCCATATGCTTGCCGTAAAAGGCGACTAACGGGATCGGGTGGTCAGTGCCTGTCGTCGCATCCCAACTGCGTGGATCGATGCTCATGATGTCAATCACTGGATTGTCTGGTCCAGAATCGATCATTTACAGACCGCCGCCATATAACTGGAATATAGCTGAGTGCAGCGTTAAGCAACAAACAAACAAAAACCTCCCATTCAGCGACAGGAAAGACAATATAATCTTTGCGTTCTCAACACAACGTCAACTGGAGACACTTCAGTCAGCAGAGGCCATCTACATGTATGGAACATTCACTTCCTGTCCTGCAACATGGGATCAAGTCTATATCCTGCATGCCAGACGTGGAACTGTCAGCTTCACATAAATAAAGTACACGTTTACTTTTCTAATGTATCTTTATATAAGTACATAAAGTACAAGATTACTTTCTACTTTTCTTGGATCTATCCATTCTAACACTTAGGTAACACAGGGTAGACCAGTCAGTGCCTTCAGCGATGACGTTGTTTTTAAGGTGTGAGTGAGTATAGTTTCACGCCGCTTTTAGCAATATTCCAGCAATATCACGGCGGGGAACACCAGAAATGGGCTTCACACATTGTACCCATGTCGGGAATCGAACCCAGGTCCCCAGATGGGTAGAAAGTGTGAAGCCAATTTCTGGTGCCCCCGCCGTGATATTGTTGGAATATTGTTAAAAGCGGCGTTAATTGGTCAATGTTACAGCAATATCTCACAGCCAGCAGACATTCCACACTGTACCCATGTTGGTATTCGAACCCAGCTGTCTTGGTCGGTTTGGTTTGTTGTAAAATTACGCCGCACTCAGCAATATTCCAGCTGTACGACGGCGGTCTGTAAATAATCTAGTCTGGACCAGACAATCCAGTGATTGATATCACGAGCATCATCGATCCACGCGATCGATGACATGCATCAACCAAGTCGGCGAGCCTGACCACCGTATCCCGTTAGTCGCCTTTTACGACAAGCATAGTCACCTTTAACGACAAGCATGGGTTGCTGAAGACCTATTCTACCTCGGAATCTTCACGGGTTCCCAGGCATCTGGCGTGACGGTCGATTTAATGTTAACGGAGAGAAGCTATGCACTAGACATGCCTCTGTGTAATTTCCATCCATCATATTATTTAAAGGTGTTTTCAAGGTGGTTACAAGGATTTGAGTGAGTGAGTGAGTTGGGTTTAACCCTCCTTTTAACAGTATTCCAGTTATATCACGGCGTGCCCTGGGGACGCAACTCTGCACAGCGAATCGCGGCGCCTCAGACGACTGGGCCACCCGTGTCTTGAAACATTGTGACCGATATTATGTATTATGTGTTTCCTTAACTCTTTTACTGACCCTTTAATTGTAAGGCTTATTGTTGACAGGCACAAGCTATAATAAAAACAAATGTGAAATGTCACAACTTGTAACTAATGTAGCAAGTACTTGTTATTATCATACCGACATTATTTTCCGGTTTGATAACGAAACATCTGTGATACACACTTCAATTTTTTCAACATGCAATTTACACTTTTACATAATTTACATTTGTTATAGCATTGTTAGTTATCATTTACATGTTTTTTGTTACTTATATATTTTGTTAATACTTACACATTTTATGGGCCTTTACACACTACACAAGTTCATGACCTCTTCTGTTTACATTCACCCGGATGATTAACAGGACAAACCAAAGAAATTAGAGAAATTAAATGAAGCACTCATAAAAGAACTAAAGTGACATCCTCACAAGGGGTAGCCTTAGTAGGATATTTAGTTATATAATGAATTTCAATGGGTTTACAAAAAAGGACAAGATCAGGACTTTTGGCCTGGATAGGTCTGAGGCTGTATACGGGCCTATTCCAAGGAAGTTTGTATTTATCATATTCCATGACACCCTCTATATATTCTGGGTCGTGCCATGGATGAACCTCTGCCTCAAAAGCACAAGCATGGCGAAGGCGGTAATAAAAGGATCGAGCCACTCCATCATGTTGCTTAAGATACTGAGTGGGTGTGTTTGTGCCAAAGCTGGGCATCCGCTGAGAATGCTTTGGACAGTCTCATTAAATTCATTGCATAATCTACATTTCATATTTACATTTTGATGTTTCGAATGGGAAGTGACTGGTCCTTCGCAGCAAACAGAAAGCCTCCTGTTTCAAATTCCAGGCCAGCCGACTCCACCCAAGCCAAGGACTATGCAGGTTTTCTGCTCTTCTCAATTTCTTGGTCCATAGGCGAAACATAGAAGGGACATAACTCGTAAAAGCCACCGATGACGATGGCGCTACGATCGCATTCGTCACCACTCGCCCCTTTCCGTAACCTGCAAGAAGACCGGCTTGTCCCGGAATAACACGAGTTGGTCACGAATGCTGCGATCGAGCCCAGGAATTCCAGCCTGGTTCGGCAAGGGTGGAAACTGGACTTTTAAAGTCAGTTGAGCCTCTTGCCTCAGGAAGATGCGGGCGTCGCGCCTTTCAAGGACAACAACTGGACAACCAGCGTTCAACCCGGAAGTGGATATAGTACGAAGAACATGCTATTTTTTCACCGCAACTACCAAAGACCGTTTTGTTACTTCATCCGAGATTGTCACAGTGACTAAAATATTTTATCTTAACTTCACAGAGTACGGGCATCGCACAAATATAACATATGATATTGTGGTTTCTATTGATATATCTTGTGTTACGCCAGTTGTATAATAACAAAAACATGTTTCCAATAACCTTTTTCAAATATTTTTTTTAAAATTTGATATGATTATATTTTGATTTTTTTTAAATCGCGAAACTAAATTATGAATTGTAGTGAATGGAAAAAAGTATCTAAGTAAATAGAGAGAATGTTTTGTGGGCATTATTCAGAAAAAGAGCACGCACAAAGCTGTGCGTCAGAACAGGTTATTCAAAAGGTGCATTTTTTTAGAAATTACCGGTCAACGACGAGGAGCAAAGGATATTTTATGTATCCTTTTACGTTGATGATGTCGCTGTTTAGTGGTAGCAACGTTAAGCACAGTTCCAGTTGGAGTCAGTGACATGATTTGGCGGGGGTGGGGGTGTGGGGGGGGGGGTGGGGGGGGTGGGGGTGGTGTTTGAACAAATCCCTCACCAAGTACATTGTTGTTTATCTATGTTTACTCTGTGACGCTTAATGCGTGAAGGACACCATTCTCCTTCTGAAATAGCCCTATCAAAGATGGAACTGGTCCTCAGCAACCCATGCTTGTCGTAAGAGGCGACTAACGGAATCGGGTGGTCGAGCTCGCTGAGGTGGTTGATTCATGTCATCGTATGCCAATGGCGTGGATCCATTGCGAGTGCGGCGTTAAACAACAACAAAACAAACATTGTTTATCTTGTAAACATTTCTTTCCCAGAAGCGTCAATGCAGATGGTTTCATCCTAAAACCATCAAGACCAGCGACCGCAATTAATAACAGGTTGCGAAAGCTACTATTTTGATTTTACAAAATATGTATCGAGACAATCAAAGCTGTAAATACAACATCAGATCTGATACCTATACTTTCACCAAAGTCGTAGATATCGTGATATTCAACAATGTTACATTTGGGATAACACTTTCTTAGTAAAGTATAGATTCTAGTTCTTGTGTGGATTGAGTACCAACCGGTATAAACTTTGCCATCTGACCCACTTAGCCACAGAGGCTTTCACAAAAATTGAAAATCCGACAACTAGAAGTCTAGATCACGTACTTTGTGTACCCCTCTGACAAGTGTGAATTGGCATAGTTCCCATGGCCGAAATCTATGACTATACAATGCCATTAGAAAGTGATTAAATGTAACAAGTGTTATATTCTGGATAACACGTTCTTTCATGTTTGTGGAAGCCTCGGTGGCTGAGTGGGTATGATCGCTGACTTTGTGTGCTGGCGATTAGGCGAGTGTTCGAATCCCGGATAGAATCATGGGAATCATTTTCTGTAACAACTTACTGTTGTCAAGCATTTTCGGTAGCAACTTACTGTTTTCCAGCATTTTCGGTAACAAATTACTATTTTCAGGCATTTCCTGTAACAAATTACTGTTGTCAAGCATTTTCGGTAACAACTTACTGTTGTCAAGTATTTTTTGTAACAACTCCACTGTGTTCAAGCATTTTCGGTAACAAATAACTGTTTTCAAGCATTTCCCGTAACATTTTCAGTAATATCACTGCCCCCTTTCATTTCCCTAGAATATCAAACACCGCTGGTCATGCATCACGTTCATTCACATAAGCCAATATGTCCACTATATGTTCAACTGCTTGTTCAGATGAAGGTCTTAACCTTGGATCTTTCTCCAGGCACCGATCAATTAAACCAGTGATGTTATTATCAGTGCATGCTTCAAAAATACCACGTAAGATGACACCCAATCCGTAAACGTCCGATGCAAACGACGTCATACCCTTGTCCTTAAGTTCCGGGGCTAAATAATCAAGATCAAGATCACCCGACTTGCTGACCGCGTACCCGTATTGAATGGTACATTTTCCCAGGTCTATCACCTTAATGACTGGGTAGTTATCTACAAAATCAAACAATATATTGTCCGTCTTGAAGTTGCTGATGATTAAATCTCTCTGGTGGAAACCCGACATTGCCTGTGCTAGTTGTATTGCAAGGGCAAGCTTAATCTGTAGATGAAACTTGACGACGACGTGCATGACGTCTCTCAACGTTTGCCCCTCGGCAACGTATTCCTGAACAATGCTGAGGTTGGTGAGTGATGATCCAGACGGTGCCACGCCGATGAATTCAGGGACATAGCCGGTATTGCTCATGAAGTAGTTTACGGAGGCCTCTTGGCGTATATCAGCGAAGCTGGAATCTTTAAACGTCTTGACAACAACGTCCATATTGTGAGGTTTATAATGGGCTAGGGCTATTTGAGTTTCTCCACTGTATCTTAACCAAACCTTTTCACCCTCGGATGTTATAAAGTTCAGAGATTCCTGAGAAATAAAAGGCAGCATGATAGTCGCTTCTTCCAGGATCTCATATTCATCTTCGGTATCATTTGTTGTGTCTGCATCAGGTGGAGCATCCATTCCGGCTGTAGCATCAGCTGTAGCATCCACTGCGTCTGTAGCACTATCAGTTGTAGTACCCATTCCGGCTGTAGCCTCAGCTGTAGCATCTATTGTAGCTGTAGCACCATCAGTTGCAGTACCCATTCCGGCTGTAGCATCAGCTGAAGCATCCACTGCGTCTGTAGCACTATCAGTTATAGTACCCATTCCGGCTGTAGCATCAGCTGTAGCATCTATTGTGTCTGTAGCACCATCAGTTGTAGTACCCATTCCGGCTGTAGCATCAGTTGTAGCATCCATTGCGTCTGTAGCACCATCAGTTGTAGTACCCATTCCGGCTGTAGCATCAGTTGTAGCATCCATTGCGTCTGTAGCACCATCAGTTGTTGTACCCATTCCGGCTGTAGCATCAGCTAAAGCATCCACTGCGTCTGTAGCACTATCAGTTATAGTACCCATTCCGGCTGTAGCATCAGCTGTAGCATCCACTGTGTCTGTAGCACTATCAGTTATAGTACCCATTCCGGCTGTAGCATCAGCTGTAGCATCTATTGTAGCTGTAGCACCATCAGTTGCAGTACCCATTCCGGCTGTAGAATCAGCTGTAGCATCTATTGTAGCTGTAGCACCATCAGTTGCAGTACCCATTCCGGCTGAAGCACCACCATCAGCTACGGCATCAAGATCAGCTGTTGCGTCTATATCAGCTGTATCTTCCATATCGTCTGTAACATCCCCACCAGCTACATCATCAATATCAGCTGGTCCTTCAGGCGAAGGATGGTTCGTTTCAGCAACCACGATATCTTGATTTCTGTAAGAATAGTCCCCGGAACAAACGTCCTCGTACAGATTCACCAGAAAGTCATTGACGTTACGTAGAGGAAGACGGCGAACTGGATCAATGGCTACACATTGTCTTGAGACTCTTTTGAACTCTGTATTCCCGACGAAGGGAGATATGTATATCATTATATTGCCAACGGAATACACGTCACACGCCAACGTTGTCAAATCAAACCACACTTCTGGAGCTAAGAATTTATAGAGTTCGCGATCTTCTCTGGTCCATATGGTGTTGGTGCTGCTGCCGTAGGACAACCCCTCGCCGAAGGTGGCATGGCCAAAGTCAGTGATGTGAACATACGGCTTGGAGCCTTGCCACGACACAATGATGTTGTTGGTGTGCAGATCATTGTACAGCACGAATCGTTTGTGGATTTCTTGCAATGTAGTCGTGATCTGTCTTGTGATGTCGATCCAAACACATTCTGGTAGGACTGGATCCATGTTAATCAGCTCATCCAGCGATGTGCTGTTCTTGAGAAACTCCGACACCAAGGACATGTCGGCGATGCTGGGACCGGTGGGCAGGAACCCATACAGACGGGGTATGTTGGGTATATCTTGTAAATACCCCATGATGTATGCTTCGTGGAGGAATTCTTCGACGTCACCCGTGTTCAATGTCTTGACAATAACGTCTTCGTCTGTGAACCGCATCCTGCCCTGGAATATTTCAGCTTGAGATCCTGTGCCAATCAGTTTGAACTCCTTCAGGTGGTTCACGCGGTGGAGGACGCTGCCTTCGTGCAAAAGACTCGGGTGGAACTGGAACAGGTCACGTGGTATGTTTTCGTCTGCGTAACCATGTTCTTTGAAGAGAGCGTATCGTAGTACTCTCGGGCACATTGTGTAATTTTGCATAAACGCCGTTACCCCTGGAACAAAAAGACGTGTTTAGTAAGGGTAAGATGAGGTGGAATGTAGCTTAGGGTGTCCTTCAAGATTTTTTGTGTCATTGTTTGTACCGGTCCGGGTTATAATCATGCTAGCCCTTTGAGATACTATGCCGCAGCTGACCCGAGAAGATGCGGGGTAGAATAGGTCTTCAGCAGCCCATGCTTGTGAGTGAGTGAGTGAAGGAGTGAAGGAGTGAAGGAGTGAGTGAGTGAGTGAGTGAGTGAAGGAGTGAGTGAGTGAGTGAGCATGGTTTAGCATCCCCTTCAAGAGTATCAATTACATGCACATGTCAGCATATACTTTACGGGAAAGGAAAGCCGATAGACTCCGGCAGTAACTGTTTACCACAGTGGCTGGTCTCACGGAGCCAGCTAGGGAACTGACAGAGTCATTATTGGGACGAATCTGGGACTCGAACCCCGACAAGCGGATCATTGCATGGCGAAGGAACGTAACTCTGCCAGCTACTTACAGCGCCTGATCAAACGGACAACAGCTATATGTAAACATGTCCTTGTACAGTATCGTAAATTCACAGAATCATTCCCATAGAGTCCCTGTGGTTGTGATGTCATTTCCCTGTACAATACACACCTGTCTGGAAGGCCATGACAAACAACATCGCAGCTGGGAGGAGCATGCCTGAAAGAAGATGTATTTCATGAGAGCGCGATAAGCCATAACAACCATGCTAGACTAGGTTGGTTGGTTTGTTGTTTAACGCCGCACTCAGCAATATTCAAGCTATATGACGGCGGTCTGTACATAATCGAGTCTGGACCAGACAATCCAGTGATTAATATCATGAGCATCGATCCATGCAATTGGGATCGATGACATGAATCAACCAAGTCAGCGAGCCTGACCACCTGATCCCGTTAGTCGCCTTTTACGACAAGCATAGTCACCTTTTACGGCAAGCATGTGTTGCTGAAGACCTATTCTACCCCGGAATCTTCACGGGTCAGCTAGACTGGGATGATACAGTGACAGTGGTAGGGGATTATGTTATTAATTTGTGACTCTCCCCGTGAAATCAGCTGGACTGCCGCGCACTGATCAGTTGGCCGGGGTGATGGTGTTGTGCCCTGAACACACGCCTAAAGGAGCATCATAGAGTGGAATATTTTCTTTGTTATTTCGTCGAGAGAAAATACTGATGCGCAATATGCTCTCACCATGTATTCATAGTGTACTCAACATCTCTAAACATTCTTCCAGTATACTCATCATCTTCTCACAATATACTGTGTGTTTGTTGTTAAACGCCGCACTCAGCAATATTCCACCTTATGAACTCAAAACTTGAATCTTCTCACAATGTATTCTGATGTATTCACAATGTACTCAAAGTGTGCCAAAATGAATTCGAAATGTATCCATAATGTAGTCACTGTTTTCCCACAATGTATTCACATTGTATTCACAATGTATTCACAATGTGTCAAAAATGTATTCACAATGTGTCCACAATGTATTGAAATATATTCAGAATGTATGCCCAATGTGTTCACAATGTATTCACGATGTATTCAAAGTGTGTTCACAATGTAATCGCAGTGTGTTCATAATGTATTCACAATGTGTCCACAACGTATTCACGATATGTCCACAGTGTATTCAAGATGCATTCGCAGTGTGTTCACAATGTGTTCACAATGTATTCACAATGAGTCAACAATGTATTTACAATATATCCGAAATGTATTGAAAATGTATTCACAATGTATTCACAATGTTCTCACAGTGCCAAAATGTATTCGAAATGTATCCATAATGTAGTCACTGTTTGCCCACAATGTATTCACAATGTATTCACAGCGTGTCCACAATGTATTCACGATGTGTCCAAAATGTATTCGCAGTTTGCCACAATGTATCACAGTGTATTCACAATGTATTCGTCGTGTGTTCATAATGTATTCACAATGTGTCCACAATGTATTGAAATATATTCAGAATGTATGCCCAATGTGTTCACAGTGTATTCACTGTGTATTCACAGTGCGTTCACAATGTATTCGCAGTGTGTTCATAATGAATACACAATGTATTCGCAGTGTGTTCATAATGAATACACAATGTGTCCACAATGTATTCACAATATGTCCCCAATGTATTGAAAATGTATTTAAAATGTATTCACAATATGTCCCCAATGTATTGAAAATGTATTTAAAATGTATTCACAATATGTCCCCAATGTATTGAAAATGTATTTAAAATGTATTCACTATGTGTCCACAATGTATGAACAATATATCCACAATGTATTCACAATGTGTCAACGATGTATTCACAATATATTCACGGTGTTCTTATCACCTTCCCATGGCTTATATATAGACAAATGTCATTCGTCTAGAATCCATATGTGAATGTGTTGTTTTTTCTGTCGTATTTACTCCATGTGAAATGAAAGCTTCGTTTTCGTACGGAAAATCTTAACCACTTTGAGACCTCATCTATCAGGTAACATTCTGTCTGATTAGGTTATTCTTGGACATGGGTGTCGCTTTTTCTGGTTTACATTTCGGTTGTCATAGTTACGGCAAATACCTCGGTTGTCATAATTACAAAGCCTGGGCCCAGACTACAGATTTCTGTTGTGATTTCTGATACTTTTATTTTGGTGCAATCATTAATGTCGTCTCGTTCTTGTTAGTTTAAGTTCAAGTTATTTAAAGGTTAATAGCTTTCGTGTCAGTGACTACACGTAAAAGGAAAACGCGTGGCAGTGTGTCATAACGCGCCATGGATATTTAATAATGTCACAGGCCCGTGAAGATCCGGAGTGGAACAGGTCTTGCGCAACCCATGCTTGCAGTAAGAGGCAACTGTGCTCGTCGTAAAAGGCGACTATGCTTATGTAAGAGGCTACCAACGGGATCGGGTGGTCAGGCTCGCTGACTTGGTTAGTGCATGGCATCGTATCCCATTTGCGTGGATCTATGCTCATGATGTCAATCACTGGATTGTCTGGTCCAAGCTCGATTATTTACACACCGCCGTCATACAGCTGGAATATTGTTGAGTGCGGCGTTAAACAACAAACAAACAAATAATAAGGTCAAAGTGCTATTTTGTTGGAAGGGTTATGAAGTCATTATTTACGGCCATGCACTGTTATTAGTCGGCTCTTATGGCAACTTGGCATTCGTGACCAACTCGTGTTATTCCGGGACAAGCCGAACAGCGACTCGTGCCCCACTCGTGGCCATTTTGCGACCGGGTTCCGTCTTAGCGCAAACGGGCATACCTAAAACAATTGTCAACTCGTTGTGAAATGGTTCACATATATTTCCCCATATATTATATATATTTCAGATGGAATTTTAAGCACCTCGGGACATGCGGAATTATACAGTATGATTGAACACATTTAACTGTATCTTGGGTTTATTTTTAGATTCAAGACGTATGTAAAATCAAATTATTTCTGAGGGATTCTTTGACGATGAACTTGAAATCATACGCGCATTCTGATTGGTTTGTCGTATTTTCGCACATAACATTCATCGATAGGGGGACGAGTCTTCTTGCAGGTAACGGAAAGGGGCGAGTGGTGACGAATGCCAACTTGGGTACTGAGGGCCTTGTCTGTCCAGGGTTGAGGTAGGTGAAAGAAAGTTTAACGTCGCGATCTAGATTGTTGCACTTATAGAGCGACGCCTAAGCCGATTTTATAGTGCTAGCTCACTGAGATACCATGCCGCAGTTTAACATGTATATCCCACTCATACACCGTATACTGACTCCGAGCCGACCAGTCCCTGATTTAGCCCCTTAACGCCTTTTGGTATGACGCGGCCAGGTATCAACCCAGGACTTCCCGCTCTCCGGGTAGACACGCTATCCACTAGACCACGTAGGCGGTCCTGTATGTCCAGGGACCCCACTGGGCTCCGCTCTCCGAGGTCACACTACTCGGCTCTCATGCCATATAACATTTCATCGCTTATCTCGAATTCGAGATAAACATACATAGCGCTATCTCGAACCTTGGACTCGGTCCCAACTTTAACTTAACTACAGATTTGTGTACCTTTATTTTGAAGTTGGCATTGCCACATTAACAGTTTTGAGAAGCGCAAATAAGCATTTCACAGAGATGTTAGCAGTTCTCCTTAAACAGGCTGTGGCACCCGGTAAGAGGTAAAAAACAAACACTTGCAACATTGCGTATGTTAGTTTCATCCACAAAAGCCTGTCCCTGAATTTTTTCATTAAAAACTATTATTTAAAAATCACGTGCAACAATTGACAATCCTACAAGTTATACATGCAAACATATACATTTGTCACACCCGTCATTGATTATTTCCGGCGGAACACATTTCAATTAGTCCCCGCATACACCTGTTACATTGTTACTTTATCGTGTATGTAATCGTACTGCTATGGTCGTGAAATACTCAATCTGTTACTCGATCTGGCTAGCTTGCTGTTCATGCTACATTAACACGAATGTCCGGATATCTCGAAGTTACAACGCGGTTCCGCGAGTTTCCGCTTAGTCGGGGTCGGACTGTATACCACAACGTGTCAGTCTCATGTGGTAGGAGGCGTTTACAAAACTCATTCTCACTCACGAACGTGGTTATTTTCTTGACAGACCTGGAAACATAACTAGGAGGAACCGGGATTCGAACCCACTAGCATGGGTTTCAGGTGCACCGTAGGGTCTCAACTCTGCACAGCGGCTTGCATCGACGTAGATAACCGGGCCACCCGTTCCCCCTTGATGACACCAGAATTCGACTTCAAACTTCCGGACATATATTGATTTTCAAAAATAAGATGTCTCAGATACTCATCAGCAGTCGTGTTTTACGCGATTGTTTTTTTAGTTCTAAAAAGTTTTAAATCAAAATATATTTTTTCAAATAAAACCATGTAGAAATATTCTTTGAGTGCTGATTAAGCGTCGGTACAGTTCATATTTTATATATAACATAAAATATTATCACCTGAAAATAATAAATGTGATAAAATCTCAGTTTAACATTTCAATACAATGCCATACTGGTATAACCATAGACGATATTGTAGGTTAAATATATTCTGAAAGTGACGACTGGTGTACATAAATAATCGATACAACTGAGTGAGCGAGTGAGTGAGCGAACTGTTTTTAACGCTGCTTTTAACAGTATTCCTTTTATCGGTGTCTAGCCGGGAGAGCCACATTTCAGAAATGGCTATCAAAATCACATAAACAAACAAACATCCACCATACCCAGCTCCCTTAGTTCTCCTCCCCAACCCCATCGGCATCTATTCAAAATCTCAAAATTCCCAAATTCTATATAAGCAACCCCTAAACCCCCCTCTTGGGTTGCACAGACCACTTTCGCCCTTTTCGGAAACACATTAAATGGCCTGGCCGGGCCCGTGTGAGATGGAATATGCTGACCACGTGGGCGACCTCCTTCATCTGCAGTAATGACATTAAATCCATTATGATATTCAAATGCTATTTATATTCATCAATGTAAAGTTCTGAAGAATATGTTATCCTTGTTGAATAAAAAATGAGAAAACAAGACTTGTTTTGTTATATACGGTAACCTGTTAGAATCACAAAGCATGTTTTGACAGCATAGCCGCGAGAGCCACATTATACAATCACGCAACCAT